AATTTATTTTTTATTATTGATTTATGCAATGATATTAAACAAGAATCATTAAAATTAAAAAATTTAAATAATAAATTTGTAATATATCGTGAACAACAAATATCAATTGAAGAATATAAACAATTAGAAAATAAGACTGGACAAATTATTTCAATCAATAGTTTCTTTTCAACAACAATATATCGAAATATTGAAATATATTTTTCTTTAGAAAATATGAATTTAAATGAGAATTGATCGATTCTTTTTCAAATCAAAGTTGATTGTTCAATTGAAACAGTTATTTGTGCTAATATTGTACATCGAACTTTTCATCAAAATGAAAAAGAAATTCTTTTTAATTTAAATTCGATTTTTCAAATTATTTCTATTCAATTAAAAACAACAACAAAAAAAGGTTCAGAAAATATTCAATTAAACAAGAAATGACTGGAAATTCACCAGTAACTTATTTCGGATAGCTTCTTCTTTATAAATTAGGTCAAATTGATCAAGTAGAAAAATATTTATAAATGATCATCAAGATATTGGATTGGTAGTGTTTATTCACAAAGAAATCAATTTGATCTTGCTTTAGAATAATTATCTTTAGCATTGGAAGTATTTTAACGTATTTTACCTGAACAACATCCAAATATTAGTACATGTTTAGGTGACATTGGATATGTTTGGGAATGATATTTAGATTTTTATAAAGATTATCGAAAGATGGTTATTGTTCTGATTGATATTTTGGAAAGATAAACTTAGTATAGAAAATGATAGATTTTACCATATGATAAGAATATTGATTGATATAGTGAAAAAAAGTTGAAGAAACGAAACCACGAGATTCATTGCGATGTTATGAAGCAGCTTTAGTAAATTTAACAAAAACAACACCAGATAATTTTCAAATGATTGGGGAATGTTTAACAAGAATTGGACAACTATGTCGTAAAGTTGACAAATTTAATGAAGCATATCGTCAATGTTCAATAACGGATTCAATTGATATTACCATTGTCTATGAAAATCTTGCACTTTGTTATAGAAAAATAAATAAAAGAACAGAAGCACTCGCATCTTTCAATGAAAGTCTTTTAATTTATCGAGCAAAATATGAAATTAATCATAAAATAGTGAAATCAATTGAAGCGAATATTGCCGAAATGAATGCTGAACAACAAATCAATATTATAATTGAATCGATACCTGAAGAACTCAATCCTGATAAAATGGAAAACAAGACAAAAACTCCTGTTAAACGTAGTAGATGTTCTGATTGCATCATATTATTAAAAAAAGTTTTGATGGCATATGATGTTAGTGATGTGCGTGCCGTATCTCTTATAGAAGCATCATCTATTCACTTTTAAAAATGTGTATGCATTCGACGGAGAACGATTAGAAATCGAAATGAAACTTCTATTAAATGGATATCCACCACGATTTCTTAAGTATCATTTCGATCGATTCCATCAGATGATAGATGTTCATATGGAGTTAGATGTACAGCAATATCAAACTTTACATCGGAAATTATTATATTTGCCTACACGACGTGAAAAGAAACATTAACGACAGTTAACAGATGAAACTCGTGAAGAGTTAGTTGCAAATAATGATGTGGAAACAAAGAAACAATGGGATAGGAAGATCTTAATGTTACCGCATACATTCGAAGGTGGTCCATCGAAGGATTTTAATCGACAATTTCGGCAATTATGGACGAAATATTATGGTTACAAAGGATCAGTTGTCAAAGATGTACGTGTCATGGTAACAGCTATGACGAATTCGTCATTGAATGATCTGTTTGTTCGAAAGAAACCTTCGACATCATTATTGACCAAAATGGAAGTAACAGACGTTGAAAAGTTGACCTGAAGTCGTGATTTTTTTTCTCTTTTCACCATTGTCTGTGTTCGTTTTTGCACGATCATTTGTTAGTTGTCAGATTCGAATAAAGTTGCATGATGTATCCTTGTATTTATGTAAAGTAGAGAGATGCATATTATCTTGTTGTTTTATACTTTAGATTTAAGTATAACACAACCTCTGTCGTCAGCAGCTATGCCTAGTCGAAAGAAATCGATGGAAAAGAAGCCGTTGGTCAAAAGACTTCTCGATGGTCTTATACCATCGAAAGCTAAAAGACGGACTATTGTCAGAAGACTATCGGATGATGATGACGGCACTCAGTCATCATCAGGTGAAGGTGTCACTCGGTCTTCTTCTGGTTTAAAACGCCACGAAGAAGTACTACAGAAGGCATCAGCATCACCTGAACCAAGTCTCCTTGTTTCAGGTCAAAGACCATCAAGTAGCAGACCTGATGGTGAAGAAAAACGAGAAGGACCAGGGGTAAGGACAGCTTTGACCGAACAGGAATTCGGGAACCGAACTTGTTTGATACTATTTTTATCCTATAGGAAACTCCATTGGTGTCGGCTAATAGCCAATTCTTTTATTCACCAATGTACCGACGATATTTTGGATTAACGCCGCCAAATCCGAGGTTAAATAACCCTCGGTTATTGGAGGATTACATTGATTGGTACATCAATGTATACATGGAAGAAGAAATTCCATGGCAATGGGTATGAAAAAAAACGAGTGTCGAAAGGACAACTTTGAAATTAACTCGATGTTATTGTCATTTAGATCGACGTTGGTAATGCCAGACAAAGAGCTGAGCAAGGTGAACAAGAGGCAAGAGAAGAAGCTCAAAGGTTAGCTTCGACAACATCGAAAGAAAAGAAGTAACCTGCATGATCGAAGCAGATAATCAAATGATCAATCATCGATGTATGAACCGTTTTCTTTCATCGTGATTGTATTTATTTGATTTTTTTTCTTTCTAATATAAAACAACAAGAGAAAATGAAGACGAAGTGTGTATTTTGGTCACGTTCGTTAGACGATCGATATCCAAAGTTTGTTTTCTTGTTTTCTATAAACTTGGTATAAAATTCAAACTTTGGATATAGTTCTTGAGAAAATGAGTTGCAAAAGCATTTGAAGAGCATAGATAAAGTACTATTACACATATACTGAGAGCGTCGAGAATGACCGAGGTGAAGACAAGACTGTAAAAGGCTTGAAAAAGTCGACCAGTTTCTTCTCTATAGATCACGTAAGAACAGTACTTGTTTAATGATCCTCTATGAATCTCAAAATGTTAGAGTGACTTAGAACATAATATTCGAACAGTGCAAACGTTGAGGATCTGATCCAGACATAGGAGAAAGAAAGAGAAATGATTGACTTGAGTCAGACAGCAACAACAAAAACCGGTCATGGTAGCTCATACTCGATGGAGGTAGTAGGACTGATCACAGAAGATCTAATAGTACCTACTACATCGGGCATACTTCGAAGCCATCTGATGAGACCTGTGAGCAAGGTCGAAACCGGTAGATTATTTTACATCTGGAATTGCGAAAGATCGAACGGTAGAGGAAAAGAACAGAGCACAATCATTGGATAACTGCATTTATGCGGACTTGGACTGTATCGATGACTACAAATCAATGAACATGTAAAAGAAGAAGAAGAAGATGATGATGATTTCAAAGCATCGAAACGAGAAAAACAAATGTTATACCCGAGCAGACTTTAGACAGCGCAAAAAACATTCAAGTATGGTGTGATTGTAAAGTCCTGAACGGTATTCAGTCAATATCCTAAGCCTGGTTCTCAGATGATGTAAGTTCGAGTCCTGTTTTGATTTTATGATCGTTTTTCACAAGTTATTCGTACTTGTCCAGACATATCCTTGTGGTTACATCGTGTTCAGATCTGAAGACATTTCCGTGGACAAAACAGGTTATTCATTTGCTTTCTAACTCATGTGCACTTAAAGATTAAATTCACCCTAGGTTCCGTGCTCTATCTGAAGTTCTTTCCGAAGTGTCTTGTTAAGTAAATGAATTCGATATATTTCATGTTCATGTTTGTTTTCTACATGTGTATATGTGTGACACCTAAGTGGATTGAAGTGAACAAGCGATTGAAATTGGAAGTGAATGAAGTATCAAGTTATAGTTTTCATTTGATTCTGCCTATGGATCAAATGGCTTGCAGTTAATGCGGAATGTGTTAGAAGTTCGTAAGAATTTTCAACACTTTCCCGTTAATATGTGCACCATTTGTCCAAGATAGAGAATGTATATCAAATGAACATAGCTCGATAAGTCATTCATTTCTGATTTCAATCGCTTTTTTTTATGAAGAAGTTTCTGTGTACTTTCATGACGCACAGAAAGTAGATATCCAGTGTGTGTCTACAGAATGAGTCAGCTGGAAAATTGAAAGATTATCTCGACTGAATATTCATGACTATTCCTACTAATATTGTTTGTCCGACAAAAAGCCAACCCTTTACTTCCTCGTAGTGTCGGATGTCAACGTTAATGTACAGGCTATTGTTAACGGCTAAAAAGGGCAATGGTACTATCGTATTAATCAGAACATTTCGAACTAATTTTGTTGTACGAAGCAGATTTTATTCATTTCCTGTGTTTTTGTTTCATGAAAATAAAGAATGCGACCTTAAGGTTCATTAAAACATTTAGACACAGACATTGGTATGCATGACATGTGGTTTATGCATTGTGTTTGGTGGAGAATATGCAATTGCATGCTATTGCTGTGATCATTTCGAGCATGAAGATTGCTACTTCGATCATCATCCTCACAACAAGATATGTCCTGTGTATGGTATAAGAAGTGAGAGTATCATATTTCAGTAAGATTGAACTCAGGACTTTGTTGCGATGTTGAAGTAACAAATATTCTTTTATCACTCTAGATGATCAACAGCAGCATTCAAATCGCGGCGTCGGTGAACTGTCTACGGCGAAGAAGAACTGAATGAACTGATTTTGTTTTGTTTCTCTATTGGTTTTTCTTTCTGAAAACCAATAAAATGCCAAAAAGAAACAACTGAACAGTTGAAGTTCAAAGTATTTGAGCCTATTGTACAATCGAGCAGGGAAGAAGAGCAATCGATACGACAGCAGAGGTGAAAACAAGACTACGAAAGGCTTGCAAAAAGGCGACCGGTTTCCATTCTGTCCAGAGCGTAACATTAGTGATTGTTTAACGATCCTTCAAAAATACTAAAAAGTAAGAGTAAACTAGAACATAATATTAGAATAGACTCAACGTTGAAGGACAGATCGAGAGAGAGAGATGAGGGAAAGAGAAATGATAGACTTGAGTGAGACAGCAACAAAACCGGTCATGGTAGCTTATATTAGCTGGTAGTAGTAGGAGTGTTCATAAACGATACAATCTTACCTACTATACCAGATTCACTTTGAAGCCATCTGACGAGACCTGTGAGCGAGGTCGAAACCGGTACATTCGTTTCACTATGCCTGTGCGTAATATCAAACGATCGTGTGGGAATACAGAGCGCTCAGATACATGAAGACAGTATTCACGCAAACTTCGACTGTATTTTGCAAGCGCAAGTCGAATCAGATCTATGCTAAGAAGATGACTTCAACACATAAAATCAAAGGAACTGACTATAACTAAGGCGAAACTAGAAGGGGCGAGAAGAGCATTCAAATATGAGCTGATCCTAAATTCAGAGCGGTATTCAGCCAATATCCTCAGACCGGTTATCGGAAGATGTAGGTTCGAGTCCTGCTCTGATTTCATGATCTTTTCGGATAAGTTTTTCGTACTTATCTGAGCATATCACTGTGGATACACTAAGTAATTTGATTCCTTCATATCGTGGATAAATGAAATGTCTATTAAATATTTTAAACTCTTTCATCCTATGTTCAAACTCACACCCTCCATGTCTGATTTATACATGAAGAATTACAGAAGGTTCTCGTGGTTGTAGTTGTTGTTATCGTCGTCGTTGTTGTCGTCGTCGTCGTCGTCGTCATTGTTGTTGTTGCTATTATAAACAAATAATTCTGATGCAAAAAAAGAATACTTGAAAACAAGAGTTTTTCATTACTAGGTAACCTATACGAAAAAACCGGTTTGACCGAGTTTTTTAAAATTTTTACACATAAACTCATTCATATGGGTTTTGGTTTTCCGAAATAACTTACTATATTTTTTTATTGGTATTAATGTTGAATTAATAAATAATAAACAAGAATCCAAAGAAACAGTCACTGTAATAACAGTCTCAGTATTATTCGAATAAAATAATTGACATGTCTGATTGGATGAAAAATAATTTATTCCAAATATCGATTCATTGGATGATAACATTTCACATATGCATTGATCTTGTGTTACATGGAGTAACAACGTATTTATTGGAGCAATTATCATACCTTTATCTATTTTACCAATGAAAATTGCTTTATTAGTAGCAAATAAAGGTAAAATAAGCATGATCCAGAACATGTTTATTGACGATTGTTGTACAAACTATTTTTTATTTAACTTTAATTTTCTCGTTTTTTTTATATTTAATAGCAAAAAGAAAAAGAAAAAAAAAGTACATTGTACATATCATTTTCAGAACAACTCCATGGATGATTGCATCTTACAGGAAGTAAATAGAAAATTAGTAGAAACAATAAAAGATTTTTTTACTATGGTTTATAATGAACAAGAAACTTTCAAGCAGCGAATTCCAATGTCTATCAATACTGTTTTGGATCTCTTTTGTTCCCCTTCAAGTTGTGCTAAAGTTACATGAGATGTTAATATTCTGTATCTGATCTTGTTCGATACTATATCGTGTTGTTGAATAAATAATTTCATCAATCATTTCACACGTTGTTTTACTTTTCCTTTTTTGTAATTAATAAATTAACTGTTGCAGAAACGACTTCATCAGTAAAATAAAATACATTAGTATGAAATAAATTCAAATTAAATAAAAAAATGTTTTTATCGCCCACATCTATACCATTTTACTCAAAAATCATGTTGTTTTTTTTCTCTTATAAATAATTATTGTGATTCATGCATAACCCAGAGTTGCCAACTCTTCCGGATTTTCCGGAAAAATTCCGGATTTTTAACTTTTTTCCGGATTTCTTCCGGGCTCCGGAATTTTCCGGTTTTTAATGATTTTTGTTAAATTTTATTTTTCATAGCGCCACAGTAACTTATAGTTATACACACTTGGTCGACTTATAAGACCAATTACCATTTATTCATTCAAATCAGTGCATTTTCTTATGTATTTTCTCCACATTTTTATATAAAATAATAATGCGGGTTTTGATTTTATCTTTGCATAATATTTTTAGAATGTTTTTGCAAAGTGAATCATTTGAAGTTTTAAGCGAAAAGGAATCATCAGAAGGATCACAATCACCATTATGTCAAACTGATAAGAAACGAAAACTGATATAAAGAAAATAGGTCTGTGTGGAAAGAATAAACTGTTAAAAATATTTCCGGAAAATTTCCGGATTTTGGCATCGAAATTCCGGATTTCGAACTATAGCAGTTGGCAACCTTGACATAACCATTAGAATGATTTAAACGTACTACATTTGTTATAGGGAAAAAAACGAATAAATTAGTAAATGAGAGTGTGAATAAAGATTAAGAAAGAAAACACTCTCATCCTCACACACACCCTCAATGATTTACGGACATTGACCCAGAGCACCAGTCCATTAGCGACCTCTGATGACATGCGAGATCTCTCTTAGTGTGTATAACTTGAGAAAGATTATACGGGATGTTCAAGCAATTGAACGAGGAGAAATCAGCATCGGACTAGTCTTCTGTCCCGAGCTACACTTCCATGCTCAGTAAAGGAGAGTATGAGATCTGTCAAAGATCATTAGCTATAGGTAAATATCGGGCTAACGAAACTGTTTTCAGACGGCACCATATACTGCAAAGCGGGGGACTTCTTCTTCTTCTTCTTCATTTGTATTAAGAATCTTATCACCACGTTCTCTACCAAAACCTAATCTTAAACAGTATGAAAAACATATTGTTTATGAGTAAAATCAAGATAGTACTGGAGATATTAAAAGTGTTAAACAAAAAATTGAATTCTTTTGAAAAAACGCCAACAAATAAAGTCACTTCTTCCTCGATCATTGGCATTCTATAGAAATGATAATGATTTATCATTATCATCAACTTCAAATTGAAATGTTCCTATTTAATAGATGATCGTTATTCAAATTTATTTCATAAAAAGAAAATATTTAGAATCTTGAGAGTAAGAGTGAAGTAAAGATAATCACACCTTCATCTACACCCAATTGCATCGCTTTCCTTTTTATAATTGATAAGAACAGTATGTTGGAAAAAACTTTGTTCTTATCTGATGAGATAAATATGAAGCAAGCCAAAATAATATATAAGTAAGAAAAGTGAAAGTGAAGTATAGTCAACGGTAAAATCGGTTCTGGTGTGCTAATAAACGAAAGTGAGTTTCGAAATTTTCGACGTATAATAAATTTTTTTGAATCGTATTTCACGAGACTATAAATCTTTATTTTTTTTAATGTAGTAATAATGAGTCGGGATGATGCATCAAACATGATCTCATGCATGAAAGATACGGCAAACGAAAGAACATTTTCATCGTCCAGTCGACTAAGACGACGTACACTCCAAAATTACGTCCTTTTATGGTTACACAATGGAATTGAATTATCAAATAAAGAATACCAGAATAATCTATCTCATTTTCAATCTGTTGCTGATGATATCAATATTTTCACTCAATCAAATGATTGCATCGACTTCATCAATAAAGTAAAGAATGTTAAAGTGTTCCTAATTGTCGACAACAAAATCGGCCAACAAATCATATCAATTATTCATGATAGTCCTCAACTTGATACAATTTATATATTTAGTAATAATGCATGTCAAGAAGAACAATGGATAAAACTATGGTTTAAAATCAACAATGTATATAATGAAATCGAGTGTTTATGTAAAGTACTACGTTTAGCCATGAAAGAATGCAATAAAAATTCCATTTCTATGAGTTTTATATCAATTGACAAGGAAATTTCTACTCTAAATTTGAATCAACTTGATCCAACATTTATGTATACTCAATTACTTAAGGAAGTTCTACTTGACATGAAACCTACCAAAGAATCACTCAAAGATTTCGTTGCATTTGCTCGTAGACAATACATTAGTAATCCTAAAAAACTGGATATGATTAATGATTTTGAACGTACTTACTCTTCACAAATGTCTATTACATGGTATACAGGCGAATCTATTGTTTATGAAATACTCAATCGAGCTCTGCGATTAATGGAAGCTGATTTAATTGTTGACATGGGTTTTCTTATTCACGATATTCATTATGAGCTTTGTAAACTGTATAAAGAACAGCTCGACAACGATTTTAAGACACCTTTTACCGTCTATCGAGGACAAGGTTTGTCAAAAATGGATTTCGATAAACTAATCAAAAATCAAGGTGGATTATTGTCATTTAATAATTTTTTATCGACAAGTCGTGATCTATCAGTTTCAACTTTCTTTGCGGAAAGTTCAGCAGGAAAACCGAATACAGTAGGCATCTTATTTAAATTGTTTATTGATCCTTCTGCACCAACAATTCCATTTGCTTCTGTTCGAGATGGAAGTTTTTTCAAGACAGAAGATGAAATTTTATTTTCCATGCATAGCATCTTTCGTATTGGTAAAATAGAAAAAAATGATGATGCCATTTCGGTATATAATGTGGAACTTACATTAACATCTGATGATGATAAACAACTTCGTATTTTAACAGAACAAATACGAGACGAAGTTAGAGAAGAAACGCCATGGGGACGATTGGGAAAACTAATGATCAGAATAGGACAACTAGACAAAGCTGAAATGCTCTATAATTCACTAGTGGATCATGCTTGTTGTGAAGGTGAAAAAGCTCTTTATCGTGTAAATCTTGCAGTACTCAAAGCGAAGCAAAATGATCCTCAGAAAGCTATTGATTATTGCAAACAAGGAATTGAAGTTTTAGAAAAAACGCTTTCTTCCGATGATTTGATTCTATCTGTTTGTTACAATAGTGCTGGTGCGGTATATTACAGTCTAGGAAACTATAAAGAAGCACTTTCGTTTTACGAAAAGAGTCTTGAAATTACACAAGAACATCCTCCATCAGATGGCAGAATGCTGGCCATCTCTTACAATTCGATAGGTGTGGTCCATCATCAAATGAAAAATTATCCAAAAGCACTTGAATCGTTTCAGATGAGTTTGTTAATTAGAGAGAAAATTCTTCCTTTAAATCATCCTGATTTGGGTGCTAGTTATATGCACATTGGTGTTGTTTATAAGGATATGAAAGAATGCCAAAAAGCACTTCCTCTCTATCATAAAGCACTTGAGATCATGGAAAAAACTCTTCATCCAAATGATCTTAATTTGGCCACTTGCTACAATAACATCGGTGGAATCTATGATGAAATAGAAGAATATCCAAAATCATTAGAATTTTACAAAAAAGGACTTGAAATGTTTGAAAAACGGCTTCCTTCAAATCATCCCTCACTGGCTGTTCTTTATCTTAACATTAGTAAGATATACAAGAGCATGATACAATACTCAGAAGCAATTGAATTTTGCAAAAAGGGTCTTGAAATTCTTGAACAAACTAATCCGTTGAATTATCTTCGATTGTCTATTGCTTACAATCGAATGGCTTCATTATATATGGACATCAAAGAATACTCAAAAGCACTTTGTTTTTATGAAAAAGAACGTGATACCTTAGAACTAAATCCTCCTCAAAATTCTTATGATTTAATTACTTGTTATAACTGTATTGGTTATGTGTACAGTATCAAAGAAAACTACGAAAAAGCATTATTATTTTATCAAGAAGAACAAAGAATTATAGAGAAGATTTATCCTGAAGATTACCGTTTATTAGCTCGTGTATTTAACAACATTGGTGGAATGTACAAACATATGAAAAACTACTCAGATGCTCTCTTTTTCTTGGAAAAAAGCCTAACTATTAAAAAACAGATTCTTCCTATGGATTATCTATCGATATCTCTTTCCTACAACAACATTGCTATGCTATATGATAGTATGAGAAATTATGTAACGGCGAGCTTATATCTAGAACAAGCTCTCAGTATTATTGAAGGTTTATCTTCGTCTAATTATTGTCATATCGAACAAATTAAAAATAATATTGAACTTGTTAATCAACATGCATCTCAATAAAACGACATCTTTACTTTCATATGTGAGACATTGCCAGTATTTATTTAATTCGGATTTATTTCTTTTACAAGATTTATTCTCAGATTCACACACACACTCCACATATTCCATTTCTTCATTGGCATATAAATAAATTCAATTGAAATTGTTATTTTTTCATGGCGATTGGGATTGACTCTTTTTCTCGTTTTTATTGATCACAATGCTAAAGAAAAGACCCGAGTTTAATATTTCTTGTCTAGAAAATCTCGACAAATACTTTTCATCAATTCCATTCTTTTTAATTTTTCTGATCATGTTTTCAATAATGAAATTAAAATTCATCGTTATTGTACTTTTTCCAAGTATGTAATCTCGTGATCATGTGCGTCACGCGTATGCAAAACTGAAGAACTAAAAAAACATGTTATTATAATTCTTCGTGCATAATATCAAATCTTGAGGGTGAGGGTGAGGGTGTGAGGGGTGAGTTTACAAAGAAAATAAGAATAATTCAAAGCAATCATACGACGCGTTTCGAATGGGGCTTAATCCATTCATCGTCAGGTATGTTCAGAACTATTATAAAAATGAAGCCTTTGTCTAATGTTATTTTTTCGCATTATTTCTTCTTCTTCTAGTATTTGGTGAGTATGCTCAATATTTTGTTCTTGTTTTAATTCATCGTGTATTAATCGTAAATATTCGAGAGCTGCAAAGTCTTCTAATTCATTCATCTGTTTCTGATCCCATCTTTCTTTTGGATTCGTCATCTCCCGTTCATAAGCATCCAAAAGTGGATCATTATATATTTCGTCCATAGGTTCTTCTAAAGGATCTAAATGATCCCAAGTAGTGTCGCGACACCGATGTGCGTTTCGTCGAGATTGATGATTAGGTTGATTGAGTGCTTGGAGACGCTCTCGTCTTCGTCGTCCTTCTTGTCTCGTATTTAAAACAATATTATGTTGTACTTGAGGAATAACAGGTATTTGACTTAGAATCATGTTTCTCTCCGATATTTCGACAGATGGATGATTTGTAGAGATATTATCGTTGGATATAAGTCGCACTATAGCATCTTGGGTGCTATTGTTCGATGATTGTGGTTCTAATGGAGTTTGACCGACTTGACTGTTGNACAGGTATTTGACTTAGAATCATGTTTCTCTCCGATATTTCGACAGATGGATGACCTGTAGAGATATTATCGTTGGATATAAGTCGCACTATAGCATCTTGGGTGCTATTGTTCGATGATTGTGGTTCTAATGGAGTTTGACCGACTTGACTGTTGTTGGTACTTATTATAGAATATGAATCTATTTAAATGAAAAGAAAGAAGTTCCTATGAATAATGGATAGTGTAATATAGATTAAAATTAAAACTTAGATGAATACAACTGTATATATAATAACATATTAGCTCTTTCTTAATGATAATGGTATGTTAGATGTATATGTACTATATGAAATGTCGTTTGCAAGAAATCATGAAAAGTATACTAACATATCAGACATAAATTGTTTAAATAGAAATAAACAAATTCTGTTTGATTGAAATATAAAGCGATGAAAATACAAGAAAAGATTATTAGTCTTTTATAGAATGTATAGAAAGACTGTTGGATATCTCTTTGACGTTGCTGAAATATATATCCAATAGACAATATAGGTTGAATGAGAAAATACTCACAATAAGGATATGAATCGAATCTTAAGATGTACAAGTGAATAAAACAGTGTCTTGTATATATCTGGAATAACAAAAAGAAACGAGAGTGAATATGAAAATGAGTAGAAGTAATAAATTAGTTTATTAACCATTGAAGAAGAAATTCTATTATGTCAATCGGATGACATGATACAAAATAGAATTAATGTTAGAAAGAATTTAATTCAGTTTTGGATCCAATCTAGTTAGTAGTTCTTCTGATGGTTTCTTATGAATAAACCATTGTTTGAGTGTTCGATTTGAGTTCCCTATCATGCGAATAGAGACATTATTCAGATCATTCGCTGCGTATTTGCAATGTTTATTCCACCATTTATGAAATTGCTTTGGGAAGTGCGTGGTTAAACCGCTGTCATACTTATATCGTAGATACATGATGCATTTATCCCATGGTTTGTTTTGTAAAACTGTAGGAAACGGAACAGGATTTTTGGTCATCATGTTCAGTTGTTTTTCATGTCGTGTACATTTATGAAGTAGATTATGATGCAAGTGTCGATATATATTTTTGTCTAGTCGTTGTAAGACAGGAGCAGCATTATTGTTTTCGAAAAACTTATTGAAATGATAACTAATGAATCTTGGTGGGTAGTGGTTTAGTAATAGAGACATGTCGATACGAATACGTTCGATGTCAAAGTCTTTGGCATGCGAACAAAGACGAGCTGCTCGTAATAAAGCTGTATATGGTATATTGCGATGAATATGACGTCGATGATCTGATGTATAAGGTAAAAAATAGGGCTGCGCTGTTGGTTTATGATAGATTGATGTTCTTAAATGTCCATTTTCGTTAATAACAATGACATCGAGAAAGTTTACTGACGTGCCAATAACGGGTGTTATCTCAATATTAATGTCTTTTGTTTGAGCTTTTTGTAGTTCCAATTGTACTTCAGCAAGTGATTGATTCGTAACAATAAAAATATCATCAATATATCTAATTAAATAGAATGATACAAAGAAGAATAAATACGTTACATACCTTCCATAAATACCATTATGTTGGTGTATATATGCAATTAACTCTTGTTCCCATTCGAACATATAAATATTAGCTAGCACTTGTGTAAAAGCTGAACCCATAGCTCCACTACGTATTTGTCTGTAGTATTTATTATTATAAACAAAATAATTTGAATCTAATATAAAACGAGCCATGCGTAGTATGTGTTCAATTGCTAATGTGCCAATTTTTCCGTGTTTGGCATATTTTTCTAAGAATCGCATCAAGGCTAATGTTGCACTTTGTCTTGGTATCATCGTATAAAGATCTTTAACATCAGCTGTAACAAATATTGTTGTCGAATTAAAAAATCCTTTATCGACATGACTTTCTAATTTTCGTACTAAATCAATATCATTAATAAATGTTGTTTCACGTGCAACTTGTAAATAGATAGGTGCTAGAAGATTATTTAAAAACTTCGAGAGCAATGTTAATGGTGAATAAATCGATGCTATAATAGGTCGTAATGGTATTCCGTCCTTTATTAAATAAATAAAAGATTTATCACAATTAAAGAATTATTACTTTTTCTTTCCTACCTTGTGTGTCTTTGGTAAGCCATGATAATGTGCTAATTCGAGGCGATTTAGGTTCGGAAGTAGTTTTTTACGTTGTTCATCAGTTAGGCCATGTGTTCGTACAACATAATCGAGTAATGTTTGTAGACCTTGTAATATATCACTTAGAGGTGAACGTCCATCGACAGTTTCTTCATAAGCTGTTGTCTTATCCATATACTCATATGCTTTACGAGCCATTGTCGTTCTATTGCCAATATATAATGCTTTTGTCTTATCCGTTCGACAAATTACAATATCGGGTCGTTCACGTAATAGTCGACGGATACTTTGAACAGTTTTGTATTCATGTCGAGCACGTTTTTCTAATTGTTTTGATATCTTTTGTGATTTAAATGCATCGATGATTTGTCGTAATTCAGGAACTGCCATCTTTACTCGTATATCACTCGAAAATATTCCATGATCCTTTAGGCAATTTTTTTACAATAGTAAATATACTTTCAAATTGTTGATTGACAATAGTATTGATCGATGGACCAGAAGTAGCAGCAACACTAAATTTAGTTTGACATGGTACAACATATTTAAGGCCATTAATTAACATAGACATTTGTTGTGCACTTAAATTAAGATCAACTTCAATAAACGGTAATGAAGCAGTAGTTTGTGTATAAATAACAGAATTGGAGGAACTGCTCCGACGACGAGAATGACACGATCTTTTTATTCGTTTGTTAATGTCGCCGCCGGAGCATCGTCGAAAAAAGACTTTAATTTATGTTCTAAAAGTTTCTGGTGACGTTTTATCATTGTTTGTTGACGGTCTGCAATAGCTTGTCGTAATAGAGGTGGACAAACTTGTCCTAATTTTTCTTCTAAATCACTGATACTTTGTTCATGTCCACGACGAATATTTTCCAATGTGTCTAAATTTAAAGCGATCAGATCAAATTTATATTGTATAATTGTCTTTGAGTATCTCGATATTAAACCAGCACGTTGATCTTTATCGAGAGCTGCATTATTAAGCATTGGTTGAACATGATCAAGTGAACGATCAATTGTTTTATCAATTTTGGGTTCTATACGTTGTAAACTAATTCGTTGTCGAAGTATTTCTATTTGTTCTGTTATTCTTTGTGCGTTAGCTATTGTTTGCCAATATTTCTTTGTTAATTGTATCTACTCGGATGCCAAAAATGTTTTTCCAGGGAGGTACAGCCCTAACGACTAGTGATAGACACAATGCATTTTATACCAAAAGANTGTACCCCCCTGGGAAAACATTTTTGGCAACCGAGTACATAAAGTAATAAAACATATTTATTTACAAAAGTTTTACGTTATTCTTAAAGATCTTTCAATATCTAACAAGTTCGTTCGCGAAAACTTTACTATATCCGTAAAAAAAATTCCACAGGTAAGGGGTTAATTATTGCAACCGAGTACAACAGGAGAACAATTATCTTCCTCTCATTGTGGGAACTGATCTAAATTTCGATATTACAGAACTAGATTTATCTGAAATGAAAAATTGGCAAAATTTCCCGCACACCCCAATGACTCGTAATGCGAACATAATCCAAAAAGATTACATTCTCACCCGATGGTACGAGAACGATAGATTTTCGTTGCAGTTAGCCGATTCTAGCGTTACAAAGCTGCAAGAATTGCTCACTGAATTCACGAATCATCAATTTCCTGATGATTTTCTTAATGCTCAAAATCATGATCCTCTCATTTCGTGGGTGACCATTCGACAGCTCAATATCATGCAGTAATATTTTTGAAGAGCAAATGATGAACTTTGGAGGTAGCAGATTCTTAGAAATGTAAAAGTAACAAGCGAAATTCTGCTGATATCTAAGATGATGTTCCTTCCCAGCGGAAAATTGCCCTCTTTACCTTTTTTCTGGCATCTTTCCACTCAAAAATATTTTTTCGATGAAGTACATATAGACCAACTTTCATGTTATGATATGTAATATCATGCCATCTATTCTCGTGTTATTTTCTTTCGTGTTTTCTTTGTTGTTATTCCTATATATGTTTCGTTAAATAAAAGAAAACACAGTTATGTTCTAACTGAATTCGAACTCGCCTCTCTTTCTTTTCTCCATCCATACATCGACGGCCTATACATTTTAACAAGTGGGGGTCCTTCTTCGTAGACTGTGACCCTGATTCTTACGTCCGACAACAAAAATTTCAACACTAATTATGGTTAATGATGAATTATCTTCGAAGCAAAATGATGATGCAGCAGCAACGGAAAGAAAACCACAATCATCTTTCACGAGAAGAATGCAGCAAATGAACATATTAGACGGATCCATACGTCGACAAGCACGAATGATGGCTGGTACAGGAGTAGTTAATATGACTACATGGTTAGCTACATTGAATAAACTTTTTGATGAGCGACAGTATTCACCATCAGAACGCATTAATTTCACATTACCGATGTTAAATAAGGAACAGACGACATGGTACGAAGAAAACCAAGATGAAATTAAAGATGATTGGAAATTCTTTTGTGATCATTTGGAGCAGACGGCGTTGAAACAACAAACCACCTGGTCAAACACTTCATTACATGAAACACCACCATTAAACAATAATACCATGAATACACTTGAAGAAGTTATTGATATGCATTTTAATAAATACTCAGGTGAAGGTGATGCAAAAGAATGGTTACTGCAAACAATGAACAAATTTAAAACACATGGTTTACGACGTGAAGATCAATTTGAAGCTATACCTTTATTACTTGAAGGAGATGCTTATGTATGGTATGCTGAAAACAGCGAAACAATTTTCAATTTTGAAGCATTCAGCAAGTTATTTCTCCGTCGATTTAAATTAACACCACCATCACCAACTGTAAGTGAGTTCGGGAATAGCTTTATTAGTAATAAGAAGAGAAGAGAGATCAAACTAAACAGACGATAGGTAAGAAGAGAAGAACAGAAATAGATGGAGCACACACACACACTATAGACGCTTCATGTGTTTATATATCGGCTTAAACGCGCGTAACGCGATGACGTTTTGGCCGGAGTATTTTTATTTTTTCTCATAGACTAACAATCATAAAAAGTTTTTCTCTTCACTGACATATATGTCCCTGGTCCCTCCATAGCTATGTGGAAAAACTAAATTGTTTGAACAAGTTGTTTGAAAATAATCGATGAAATATCTCTCGTAACACGATGACGAAAAAAAGACAAAATATTGACAGTGGTATATAAGATCATTATTTTTCTGCGAATCTACGTTACATCATAGGGAACATTTATCAGACGTTCTTAAGCTAACACCTTAAGGTTTGCATCGATGTGCCTGGTTTGATTAAACGACAACACATTCTGCGAAAAAACTATCTTTTACTAACGTAACGCGATGACGGTTTCGTTACGCGATGATGCTGTTTTTTGAAGTGTGTTTCGTTATTAAAATTAATTTGTTTTATTTTTGTTACAGCATCTCAGGGTGCGATTGTAGTTCTCAAGAACCAATTAAAGAGGTCACAAATATCTTATTTATTAACAACAGTTGCATTAAATATCGTGAGTAAGACATAATCTATATCAAAAATATTTACAGAAAACTGTTTATATATAGCACATAAAAAATAAAAATTTGTTTAATTACATAAATATAACACATCCTATAAAAATTAACACATCAATAACCATTAAAATAATCGCGAATGTGCAACTGTTAAGCCTTTATCCTACATTACTTAATTCTAGTACTGATTAAACGGAAAAGCGACACATTTTCGAATTTTGACTATTAGAATAATATTTGTATTCCACCGAATTGTTTCCTATTGTTTTAATTGAATGAATTTTTTTTGTTTCTGGTATCGGTTTAACTGATTGGAAAATGTGTTCTAATTCGGTTTTCGAATCATCAACTTTACGCTGTTTTATTTCATCAATGGAAATCGTTGTTGTTTTTGATCGACCAATTCGTACGAAATCAGCTGCTGATTTGCATTTTATTCCACTTAATATTGCTAAGTAAACGAGACGTTTTAGGGAACCGCCGACACCCTCACCCAATTCTTTCTTGGTGAAATCAATACTGAATATCTTACACATCGTCTGGAATCCGAAGAGTGAGTGATTCTAATCAATTTTCATATATGTATGATACCTACTTGTTAGAAAACGAGCCAACGATCAATTATGGCTCTATCAACATTCAACACAATGTTCGGCTGCTTTAGAAATCTTCTTGGAGGAAAATCCTAGTTATTGGTGTTTTGTACCAACAAAAGTGGCTGCTCTGAGTTTGAGCAATACACCTTCTCGAAATTCACCATCTCTTCGAACAAGCAATGAATCGTCATTTACTTCAGTCGATGAATCTACACGATTACGTGGCGAAGAAGAAATTCGTTTTCTTCTGCGTAACATACCAAAACCACCATCAGGCTTCGTATTCTCTGCTCAACAACGTCAACAACAAACACAATTCTTTCAATCAGCTAGAGATCGTATTGTACCGCGTGATCTTCCCGATCTTTACAATGCAGATATTATTGCCGTTTGTAAGTACCTGAATCATTAATTTGTCTCTTTTCAATGACTCTTCTTCCTTTAGTACCAAGTCATTCATCTGAATTATTGTGTGCATTGATTGAATCATTATTTATCACACATACGGAATGCAATTTAAATCAAACGGGAGATTTAGTATATGAACGAAAGAATCCAATTGAGGCTTCAACTAGTATTTGGTGTGCTAATCTTGCACGTCATGTATGGCCACATTTTTAAATTCTATATGCTTTTCAATTCAGTTTTATCTATACTCATTTAATCATTCATAAAATCGTGCATGCATTCAAAAAAAAAAACTATTTAGCTTTCTACTCTATTCTAGATTGAAATACATCAATGTCACGTCGTCGTGGACAATTGTACTGTGAAGATTATCCCGATGAAGAAGAAAATCTTATACCGATCGTTCATGACGATCCACAATTAGCAGCACCGTCTTATGTTCCAGTTACATTACGTGGACCAAGTTATCGATATCGTATTTTGCCAGCATGTCCATCATCACTTCATGATGATCAACCACCATTGCTACTACCAAATGTACCAGGTAAATTAGAACTCTTTCATACTTAGTACATCTATTTCTATTTTCATTATTCACTAGTAAACAAACTCAGCCAAGAACAATTGTTGTATCGTCAAAGTGGCCGTTTTCCACTCACATACACAGCGGATCCAAAGTATTTTGATATTCCATCTTACTTTTACAGTGAGTACCAAGCATACATGAGCATGTTGATCTACAAGTACAATGTGGACGAACCGATCTTGAGTTATAATTTGGCTCGTTTTAAACAATGCTATGATATGTTTATTGATGATTATTGCTACCATCATAGTTGTCTACCAGAACAGTTCGAGATTACTACAAAGCAAAAGAATTATGCATTGGAATTTTATTTGCAAATGGATGGTGAGATCAAGTGTTACCATTCCATCGATTTTCTTCTCTCTTTAATTTCAGTTGATCTTTTCTTCATGAAAACATGTTCATATCGATCAGCCAAGCCACGATCTAATGATGAAGGTCTCTACTGCATCAATGAACCAGAAGCTCGTTATAGTCTACTACCCTGCAATGATTGTTCACTTTGTCAGCCACCAATTCACTCACCTGAGCAACAATCTACAATTCGATTTGGTCCAAATCAAAAGTTCCGTTTTATGAACGATTAT